TTACAAATTCTATGTTAGGAAAGAATATATTAGGAAAGAAGACTAATCAAATTCCTACAAATCTGTCCTACAATCCAGGTAAATCATATCTCCCTAGTATTTACTTCCTATTTTAGTTATACAGTCTGTAGCATCATATCTCCCTAGTATTTACTTCCTATTTTAATTATACAGTCTGTAACATCTTCCTATTTTAATTATACAGTCTGTAACAAAAGCCATGGTCTAGACAAGGAAATTTGCTTTTGAGGGACTAATTGAATTCCGAACCTGCTTAGAAGGAATCCCTCACTGATACTCTACTGCTGAGACTACTAGCCGTTGATTTTACTAAGAAACTACCCTCGTTGGACCAAGTCCAAATCCACTGGTCATCCTGGTTAAAGTCAATGCTCTGAACCTGTAAAGTTTCCAGCAAGCTCATAGTTTCTTGTACTTCCCAATCAAAAAGGCCTCTTCTGAACTGGGGAACCCAAGTCACCTCATTACTTGAGACTGTGTATAAATCAGCCACCGAAGCATTCTGATTGGAAACACACTGATAGAGAAGGGGAAACTCTTCAGCCAAAGGGTGATCCAAGCACCAATGATCCTTCCAGAATCTAACCATGTCCCCCCTGCCTACTTTAAGACTGATACCCCCTTCAAACAAGGGGAAGAACCTCATTATGCTTTTCCATAAAGAGCAGCCCTAGTTAGGAAGAGGATCTCTTGTTCTCCAGTTTCCCCAATCAACCCCAAGCTTGGTAGCGATAAGGTTCAAAAAATAACTTGACAAACTTTATATGGAACACTTATCTTCTTTTTCTTTTATATTTTTTGAAGAAAATATTTTTTAACTTCTGAAAAAAAAAAACTCTAGTAGTATTTATTCTTCAAAACAGCCAAAGCAAAGTATCAAACCCATACATTTATTGCAAACCACAGAATCCCAATACACCATATTATCAGGCAGAATATTTATTTTGTAAAACCAGATCCTACACCCTCTGCAGGCAAGAACAATATATAACACATATATTAACAAAAAAAGTTTGAACACTGTTAATCAACCAGGAACATCACAAAATGTCTTCACTTGATAAATGATGACACTGCATATGAAAATCCATCATTCACCTTTGTGTCAAATTCCACCCCAGAAATGCCCTCCCTGAAAAGAAATTTATGAGAGAAAAGTTATCCGACATCATATGAAAATAAAATAGATGTCAGCATAAACATAATAACACATATGTATAAAGAACAAAATATAGACCACAGATCAAGAGATGGAAGAACAAACAAGTAGAATATGTTATAGGGAAAGAAACAGGATTACATATATGAAATGATATCACATGCCCATTAGACCATATATAATATAAATATATAATCAATACATGTTTATAAAAAAATCAATACATTTGTAGATAACTAACATAGGGCTAACTCAAACCTTTGAGCATTTTAGTTTCCAATGTGGAACTGAAATATCCCTTTTTTTTGTAATAAATCAAAAAGAAAATTTTATTAAGAGGAAGAAAGAGATTACAAGAAAAAAGGTGATAAGATATCACCCACAATAAAAATAGAAGAAAAAAGACTCGAAGCCCAAAAACCAGCACCCTCGCATTCCCCTTATAAGTTATAACACATTTTTACTTCCCATACCTTAAACCAAAAAATCTCACTAACAAACCACCACAAATGATCCACAGATCTCCCTCTATACCCCACACCCCAGAAATGACTTGAACAATAACCAGCTACAAGTCAAACATCTGCCTTAAAATCATCCACACCCAGACCATTTTTTTCCAACTCCAAAAAGGCTTTTGTTGTGAATTCTTCCCCTCCAAGAAAAAATACCCATGAAGCAAAGGTTCAATAGCAAGCCCAAAATCTCAGTTCGATTGATCCTCATGAGAGTTCTGACATCAATTTGTTTGAGTTAGAGAACAGTTCCTTGTCAGTGTCAAAGCATAAAAAGAATTAACCATTTTTCATATCACAACAACTAAATATCAAGCCCTTTTGCCCTTTTTCACTATCAAAAGAAATGGGGGTTTGAGAATTAATTTTCTAAGGTTGGAAAAACCCCTATCCTGTTGCAAGAAGCTCAAAGGGAACATTGGGGATCATTTTAGAAACTAAAGACCATTGCTATGGGTTGCTGAGGGACCACTGGAGGTCGAAGCATCATTCAAAGATATTGCTGTCTCATCATATTTATATAAAGGCCACTACTAGTGTTGTAAGACTTGGACTAGACCGGATTGAAATCTTTTAAAACATGGAGGCATGACTTGAGGTGTTCCACTACCTGGAGGCATGAGGCATAGTTCAGAGTGCAAGAGGTGTAAGACTCCCAAGCACAAGGAGGCATAAACCTCCTCAAGAGGAGGGAGATGAAGAGTTCTTGTTTCTCTTGTGTGCAAGACGTGCATGAGGCGTACACCTCATAAGCATAAATGCTTCCAACATACACCTCAGGGTGTTCCGGGGGCACCTCGCCTGGAGTCATACCTCCGGGAGTATGCCTCCCATGCCTTTTAAAACATTGATCGGACAGTTGAATTGGTGACACAGTGGCCCAATGCCCTTTCTGGGTCTTGGTTAAATAATGGTTTTCATGTTTTGAAAGGGCTAATTTCCCAGTTAACTGGTAAAACTGTGACCCAGTGAGCATTCCAGTTTTATGTCCAGTTCAAATCTTAAAACATTGGCCATCACTCAATGTTAGTCCCAGGTATCTGGGGTATTCAGAGGGGTGGACTGGATAATAATACAGTCCATAAGCTCTTTTGGAATAACCACTCTGTCCTAAACAAAGCAATAAAGATGCATAATACCTTTCAAGAAAAGATGTAATGGACAAAAAGCATAATATTTCCCTCTGTCTCTTTGATGGAAATGATTCGCCATTAGAATTTCAGTAGTGCCTCAATGACTGATTCTCAATCTGCTCTAACCAAAAAGACAATTTTCCCTGGGAAGCTAAAGTGCTAAACAAAAGGAAAAGGTATTTATAGAAAAGAAAACCACTAAGTTGCATTTGGATGGGAGAGGAATTGATGTTGGAGGTGGAATTGAGGAGACCAATTCCTCTTGTCTCCAGATTTCCCTGTTTCGATCCATTTCAGAACTTAAAGAAATTAAGCTGATATAGGCTTTAGTTTTTGAATTTCACATTTCAGCAGAATACTGGGGGTTAGTCATTTCAAATATGCAGAAAAAAGATTCTACAATCCAAGAACATATAGTCCCATCTCCATAACCTTTACTTTTGTTGCAATTTATACCCCCCCTTCCCACACACCCACACACACACAAACACAGCCCCCAAAAAAAGTATGGACACATTAATACTTTCTAATCATACTTTTCCTAATCATCTATATTTATTGCATGATCCTAGGTTCATTTTCTACCAAAAAAAAATATCCTAGGTTCATTTGCATACCAACCTCAAGATCAGCACAACAAAGTTGGCTCCTTTTGCCCTAAAGGAGTTTGAACAATAATAAGGCAATTTCAGATTAAAGGGCGTCAATCAGCATGCTTAGATCATAATACTCTAATTGTTAGGTTTTATGTCTTCTACTTGCTGACTTCCAAAAATTTTCATTTGCCAACATCATATTGTAGGTAGCTATTATTAATTTGTGTCAATTTTCATCATATTGTACGTTTATGATTCCAGTTGATTGGTCAGGTGTTTTTCGGATATTATCTTTTCCATATCATTGTCGAACCCTGGACAACCACACCTTCTGACATAATTATCCACATCATGGACAAGAATGTTAAAACTGTGCTTCAAGTGATGATTGTAGGCGGTTAGGGGAATAAGTAATGTTACGTAAAGAATGTAGAGCACTGGATAATGCAAAACAGAGCACTAACCTTCTAATAGGCACTTGGTTACTTGTACTGGTGACATTACCAACTCGATTCATCTGCAAAACAAATTCTGATATTTCAATTCATTCCGTAAAATACATAAACAATCAGGTTTCAGGAATCAAACGCTGAAAGCTGGATGATGAAATTCCATACGTGCGTTGGGCATTTTGCTCCGTCAATATGGTATAAATGACCAAAAGCTCCAATCTACCAATAAGAATATAGCACAGAATTCAGTACTGTGGTAAAATCAACTCCGATTAAATCAGTTGACAGACACACCGATCAGAGGTTCTTCATTCAAATTCGAGCACAAATAGATAAAAAAGGTGTACCTCGGAGTAGGAATCAAGCAACAAACTAGAAATTTCGTGGCGATATTTGGAAGATAACATGCCATCTAGTTCCACAATGCTCCTCTTCCACCTGGGCCTTCAATGAACAGCAATGCTCGGTTCAATACTTCTTACAAATGAAGAATTATATCGACTATGTATGCACCAAAATTTATAAAAGCAAAGCCATCAAGAAAAGCTAAGAGAGAGCGATGTTAAGAATGTTACCTTCTAATGGGTTTAGGATTTTCAGGCGAAGGTGAGAGAGGAACTACGTATTTGTCCATTAGGAAGTAACAGTGATGAATCCGAGCTCCGACGGTTGAATGCTTAGACGGGTGGAGAGAGCTTCAGAGGGGATTTTATTAATTTGAGGCAGTTTCTATGGTTGGGTTTCCCGCCTTCCGCTTCCGCAAGCTCGCTTCCTTCATCCCTGGTATTTGCCGCGAAAGCTCTTTTATAGTTTTAAATTTTAATTAAAGTTTTGGGTAAATTGCCGTTCCAACACCTTCCAACTTGAGCAGTGTCCGCAGATTTCCTTATAGAGCGCATCTCACGCCGACCCCACAGGCACATCTCACCGTGCATGAAAAGCATCTCCCACATAAGTACGGGAGATGTTCTCGATACATGGCGGAATGTGTCTGTGAGATTAGAGTGAGGTGCGATTTGTAAGAAGCAGATCCAGCCTCATAAGACAGATATCCACCATGGACATGTGTGTACTGGAGACATATGTTGGATCGTGTTGGAACAGTTAATAAAGATAGGATAAATTACAGGAAGCCACCCTGTAGTTAAGGGGTAGTGATTCTTTAGCCCCTGAACTTTGTTTTGAAACAAATAAAGAACCCTCATGAACTTTTGGATTCTTGCCCTATTAGCATTCCGTCAGTTAAATTTTTGATATATTCTTTTAAATATTTTAAATGTCTCAAATTAATCTTATGTTATTTTATGAGAGCATTTGCCCTGATTTTTCTAAACTTTTAATTCTAACATGTTATTCTTAATTCATTTAACAAAAACCATTCTAAACCCCTTCAAAATGAGTGGTTCAGCAGCAGCCTCTCGAGAATAATTTGTACTTTAGAATAGCTATTTTCATCATTATGATAATTGTTGTTATTAACCACATAGAATCTCAAATATACAATTTAGTAATTTTACTTTCACCACCAACAATGCTTGCCGGTTAGGGGGCAAAGTGCTGAAATATAGAAATTCGAAGGGATTTTTATTAGGGATGTCACGGTTTTTGCAAATCTCCGAACTGCAACGAAACCGATGAACCAACCTTTTTTTTTTTTTTTGACTGGTTTAGTTCTCGATTTTTTATATTTATAATATATATTTTATAAGTAAATGTCCAAATATATATAATATCTTATATTATAAATAATAAATAATATATAGTATATTATGAATATGCATTTTTATAATATTATATATTATAAAATAAATTATTATAAATAATTAAATATAATGTATGATATATATTAAATATATAAATACATATACCAGTTGGTTCGATTAACCACCATTTTTTAGGCTAATAAAAAATCAAACTAGTCTTTTAATTTTTCAAAAATACCAAACTAAAATTAAACTGATCAGTTCAGTTAACCAAAATTTTCGATTCAAAAGGTGAAGTATTACCACCCTTTAAGTACAAGATAAGTTAAGATCTTCTGCCAATAAAACATGCTCCAACCCTCTATTAACTTGATCTAACACGGCACATCTCACTATGAGATTGGACCCCACCATGTATGAAATGTGTGATGTAAGATTATATTGATAGAGAGCTGGAATGTGTTTTTATTGGCAGGTGATCTGGATTCGTATCCCAACCAAACCCTGGTAACAGCGAGATTTCATCCTTACAAAAAAAGATACAAACATGTCATACACACCTTTAAAACATTTCTCTTATTACCTTTAATGGGCCATGTCACAACCTTTATTTTGTAGTGAGGCCTTGCAGTGCATTGATAGGCCTATTAAAGTTAGTGAAAGCCCGTCGCATTGATGGGCCAATGTTGAGAGTCCAGAACTCTAGATCTGCTGTGTGCACATGCTATGCATAGGATATTAGGACATTGTAGCCACACATCGTGCATGGGATGCGGGCAGCGTTCTGTGTACAGCAGATCCGTGCTCCAACGTTCATGGTAGGAGCCTTCACACGAATTTCATAAAAAATTTCAGGTTCTGTTTGTTTACAGATTTGCACATCTGACATAAAACTTACGCTCATTGGCAGTATAAATTTTGCACCCAAAAATGAAGCAAAAACTGCAGTTTTATCTAATAGTAATGTTCGCCCCAGTCTAAAGATGCAAGTAAGAAAATGGGAAGAAACAAAGAAGCAAAGTAACTAACTAATTAGGACAAACTATAAAAGCGGAATACAATAACTCAATAACCCAGACTGAGGAATGCTGTTATTATTAGCAGCATTAGCATCATTTTACATTAATAAAAGACGTCTTCAGCCTCTCTTTCTCTCTCTCTCTCTATAACTTTATTTGTCAAGGATTTGAGGCACTGCATCCCGGTCTACATACCCACCTGACCTGTATTTGAGAATAATTTTCAATAGCATCAATACACATTTACAAGTGTTCATAATTTAAATGTGATATTAAAACAAAACAGAACAGTGAAATAGGATTCATGTAGCCGATCTATAGAATTTGGATAAGGCTTAGATGATGATGATGATGATATTTACAAAAAAAAAAAAGGTTGGTCAGTACTGCATCTAGAGCCTAGAGGCACATTTTCCTTTGGGAGAAGTACACTGTAGCCAATGCAGAATTCTGAAATTACAGCCTCCCCCCATAGTCTACTAGTAGCCTCCCCTATAAACCGCATCCTGTCTGTGGATTTTGCATCAATCCAAGGTCAGGATTCATCCTCCCTGTATGGTGGGGTTAAGAAAGCTGAGCTGGGCTGATTAGTCATTCTCCCCTTTCCTTCTCAGAGGAGGCATCTATCAACATCCAATTATACAGTTATGATGCCTCTTCATGAGCTGGGCTCAGGGTTAGTTTTTGCCAAATTTTGAATGGGCTCCAACCCGTCCTAAAGTCCGAGCTTGAAACAGTGTAAAGCCCGGCCTATAAACAGGTTCAAAGTGATGATATAAATAGAGGAGATGCTTACATGGTTCAAAGTTGAAAGCACATTTTGCTGGGAGTTGCATGGCCACATTGCGATCAACGCCTGCTATTGGAGGGCCACTCACGAGCATACACAGGCAAGGCTGCCCAAGCATCCTGACAGCATTGCAGCAACCCTCAGTTGGTGGCAGGGGGCTGAAAGAGGTTACAGCAGGTCTGCATGGTATCAGCTGGACAAGGGCGGCGAAGAATGTGCTGCTGCATCCCTGGCCCATTCCATGCTCCACCATGCTGGCCATGGCCACCATGAACACCAGAAATGTCACCACCTTAGTACTCCCAACCTTCATGGCTGAATCCTACCTCTTCTGTCTCTATTTTGAGAATCCTCTCCAAGAAATGATCATTCGTCCACAAGGTTTTATATACCCAGGAAATGGCTCATTATTATCATGAATCGTGCACTGTTTTCCTAACCTAAACCATACTGCTTCATGCCGTTTTTGTGTGCTACCCTTGCTTTAGAGCTGAGTGCATTGAGCATAGCAAGTTAAACCGTTTCTTAACTCATATTTCATGACAGATATCATATCTTTTCCATATTATAGTCCAACCCTGAATAATATATATATATATATATATATATATAAAAGAGAAAGGTGCGTGGTTTGAAGTATCGGTATTGGATAAACCAATGATTCAATGACGTATTAAACTGGTTCACGAATTCTGACCAAAGAACAGAACAGAAATTTTCAGATGAATATTTCTTTTCTGCACTGTATTCTCAAACAGATTCTTTGATTCCAATTCTGAGGCAAAGGAGCAACTTCCCCTAGTCAAGCTAATTGGGTAACTTTCTACTGTATAGATCAGATGAAAAATCAGCTCACTTAGTTTGAACTGGGAATAGTGATCAATGGGATGGGGATGCTCCCACAGTGTGAGTCCAGTTGCCAGTGCTGAATTCTCATCCACTTTAGAACTTTGGGAAAATGAGTTTAAAGCTGTTTTTTTTTCCTGACAAAGCATCTCCAGTTGATATTCATAGCTAGATTTAGTATGTATTTGGTTCCATTAACGTTTTTTCATTCAACATTTGTAATTTATTTGCTTGCAATACTGAAAAAGGTAATAATTACAATTGTTTATGACAACTAGGCGCTACTATGCTCCACATCAGCGTAACAGTGAAAAAACGCCTAACCATTTGTGGAAGCTGTAAAAAACAACTTCCCCAAATGGTAGGCATGCACAAAAATAGAAGTCCACTTTTGCCATTCTCGATGCATTCAAAAGAACAAGAGAGGATAATTGCTGGAAGTGGCACCTAAGTGGCAGCATTTATTGAATAAATGCCCACAGAACCAAACACCCTGTTAATCTGCAGTGCCTAATGCAATGCATCATGGACTTCCATCAAGGAGAAACGGATTGGATATTAACTGATTAGTAAAACCTTCCAACCGTGCATGTGGTTATTTAAATATTTCAGTTCTCACTATTTCAAGGAGAGGAATCCCAGCATACATTTTCCTAATAGAAACAACCAATCCTTTAAAAATGAATGAGCAAGCGAAGTAGCAAACCAGAAATGTCGATCAAGGATACATATCGTATTATATCATGTATATTGTATTGGTATCAATGGCCCTCGATACTCGAAATAGTGAGATATTGGGGGCTTTTGAATGTTTCAGATGTTAGGAGTCATCCTCAGTAGCCTATCCGTCAATTATCAGGCTGAAAAAAAAAAAAAAATTAAGAATCCACTGTTTGAAATGCACGAGATGCAATGTTTTCATATCGTGCCTGTCAATATTTTAAACCTTGGTCTAGTCCAGTTGAATCCAGTTCAACCAGCATGTCTGGTCTGGTTTCTAAAACATTTACAGGAAAAAAAAAAGTTATTTTTGTCAAAAGAGAACCAAGAAAAGAAAAGAAACAGCCAACATTGTGAATAAAATCATGATCATTCAGGGGTCTTCCCACCAGTTCAGTATATGTTCAATACATTTTTTGAATTTCCTAGATGAACATTCCAATAAGAAAAATCACATGTAATATATACCAAGGCCTGTTCTGGTCAGAGAACAATGAGACTTCACTATTGCATTCCATTCCCTTGTGAATTCTGTTAGATCCTCAAAAAAAGCGAAAGGCCTTATCAGAAGCCAACAACTTGCTTCATCCCATTGCAGTTTATCATTTTTCTTCTTTCTTTCCTTTTAGATTGATTACTGCAAGCTCTAGTTCGACAAACTCTCCTGCACAGATGGGTGGATACTTGATAGCTAGTGGGGAATCTTTGAAGTGACCCAAAGGCTGTAGCATGGCATCGGATGCAATGTGTGAAAACAACTGGTTAACCAAAAAGGGAAACATTCAACATTTAGTCTATGAAGCTCCAAATAAAATGACCATCTTTAACTTTTAAAAGGGTTAAATTTTTGAAGCAGGTAGTTGGCTTCACTCACTGTTGAAGAAACTCTCCACAGGCTGTGATTTTGTTGCTGTACTAGTTCAATTGCACTGATTGTTCTACTAGTCACAACAACCTCATGCATTCCTGCCAAGCACTCCCCTCCAGTCAGCCATTCTAGCTGCAGAAAAGGCAGAAGAAAAACTCCTAAACATAATATCATGTACCATAGCTGGGGAAATTTCTTTTTCACCTTTTGCCAAGAAAATTGGTTGATGAAAAGCAGACTTCAAAGAAATACAAGCAAGTGCAACTAAGAAAATATGCATATTTGGAAAAAAAATAAGGAAGAACATTGGGAAGAGAGAAACTGAGACAAAATTCCAATTTTTACAAGAAAAAACTCTTCCATTTTATATTAATCATGATCCACACAAAATACATGAATGGATTATACTTAAATTATAATGTTCATATAAAAAGAATTATTGTTATTATGACCCAATACCAGAAACAACATTTCAAAAGTACTGTTTCCTTCACTACCAACAATATGGTGCATGTGCTATAACATCTGGACCATACCAATGAGCTAGGAGATGACTCCTGCAGTAACGGCTTTGGAAAATCAGAAACTTGTAATCAAAAGAATTTATCATCATTCAAATCTTTCTGGATCTAACAAAAAAGAAGCAGATGATATGGTATTAGAATCAACAAGGTTTGCACTATGCACTTTGCAGGGTTGTTGATTCAATCAATTCAATGATGTGAACGATAAAGAACCATCTTCTGCTTTATTATATAGTATAGATGAGAGTATCTGACATGAAAGCATTTCAAAAAAAAAAAAAAACGAGTCCTTGTTAAATGGCACCACCAGCAAAACTGCAGCAGAAGTTCTGTGCTCAAGTGTAAACTTCCGACATGACTTTACATGCCACTTTTAAATTACACTTCATGCACCCTCCCTGCTGGAATTATTATCTGAGAACCCATCAAATTACGCCTATTAGGGCTGTCAATGATACCCAATTATCTGAATCTGAAGTTGAAATTCAATCTGATTAAACTAGATTTGGGTCTAAAAAATCAGATCCGTTTAATTGGATTGAATTTGGATCCACCCCAATCCAATTCAATGAAGACCAAAGTCCAACAATATTAGTAGGTATTTACATATTTATATAAAATTAAAATACATTTAACAGCAAAGTTAGTTTACATATCATATTTTCATTTAAAGCTCACAAGTTTCATGGAAGTTATTTTTAATTCATTTATTAATTATATAGCATCTATGTTGTTTCTAATGAATTTATTAATAAAATATAATATAAAATTTTGGTAATTTTTTAGTTTAATTTATTAATCATACAGAAAATCTGAATCTGATCTGAGTTTAATCAGAATCTGATGGGTAAGATTTTATTAGAATTTGAAAATTAATAGGATCAAATTCAAATCAAGGCATACCCAATTCCAAATTAGCCCATTTATAGCCCTATAGCCTATGTCTTGCCCTAAAACTGAAAATATGGATTCTTGATCAGTGATCAAGCACCGATTATCAATGACTGTTCTGTTCGTACCTGCTTCCCTGACTGTATAAGGAGACATCCAACTGGAACTTTCACTTCTACTTTTTGCCCATTTCTCAACCAAATATTTAGACCAGGGAATCTGCTCCTGCCATGTATTGTTAAGAAGTTAAGGTCATAGTGATATCCTGCAAAAACAGTCCCCTCCTGTCCATAACGTTGCAGATCACTACCAGTAGGTGCAAGTAAATGGGGTCCCTGATGTTCCAAAACGAAAATATTGTCAGAAAATGTGAACCCAATTCTTCTAAAATTGAGGGATAATTCATGTAGGGAAATGATTATGAAATAGTACTAGTAGTAGCAATTTCAATAAAACCAAATAATTAAGAATGCAAGTAATAAATTTTGAATAGCAGCTTTATGCCAACTTAACTGTATACTGCAAAATTCCCTTTTCCAGTTCACATACACCTAGAGAAATCCTACCTTAATATAATAGTAACATTTATTGGATAATAGAAATTTGAAATTCATAAGATAGTTATATGACTTGTATCAAATATAATTTTCTAAACCACATAAAGGATATCCCTTGTGTTTTGGAGTTCCTAAGCACCCATTCTTATCAATGTTCCCATGTCAGTATATGATCAATCACAAGAAATAAATAAATAAATACTTTACAACTTGCAAACAGATGAAAGTTTATCACCATATTAGGCATTAATTTTTTTTTCTCAATAGGCATTAACTTGTTTTGCACCCTGAAAATAAAGCAACTAATCAAGGTTGGAGATAAATTTGTAGAGCTATGAGCTCCATTTATGAATGTGAACTAAAATGGTTATTCTTGTCAGAAAAGACAAGAGTTTAGCTCTACCCATGCTGTTAGAAGAATTTCTCTCAATTACTAAATGAGAATGGCATAATTGATCGGTGATGTGAATACCCGTATGAAGGACTTTAATCTGAGATTCAGTGGAACCAACATCCTTAATTAGACCAGTATACGTCAAAAGAATGGTCGTCACACTTAAGGAAGATGCCATACAAGTGGGACAGTGGTTGAGCCTACAACTGAATCTAGAAGTGCCGTCAAACTGAATTCTGTATGCATCATCTATGAAGATATTTCATTCTCAAAATTTCTTTTGTTTCTCTTCCCACACTGCCCATAGGAATGCGTGGATGATGGTTTTCCAATGGATTTTACCTCTGCCACCATTCCCTCCAGGTACTCAGCATACCACAGATGTTACCTAGGGCAACCCATCATTGAAGCCCTTCCAAGTTTAGAAAAAAAGATGCCAGAGTCTCCTAATCAAATCACTATGCAAGAGGAGATGAGTGGCAGATTCTCCATTGAATAAACACAATACACAAACATGAGGGAGAATCGAAGATCTAGCACCACTTTGGGAATCCAAATCCTCTTTTTTCGAAGGAGATCACAAATGATGTTGATCTAACCCTCCCAAATAAAGGAGATTCCAAGGAGAGCTGTTGGAATCCAAAACTTATTTATTGGTATGATACTTGACGCATAGTTACAAATGATAACATCCAAAAAGGATTTAGCTAAAAACATACCCAATGCAGAGAGAGACCGGAGACCAAACATGATAATTGAGAGCAAAGGAGAAGAATAAATTAGAGAGGAAATATAGAAGTGAAACTAGATCACCCTTGGGGGGGGGGGGCAGAGATCAAGGTTCCAAGAGAGATATAGTCTCCTAGTGAAATGATTGAGGAGATCATCACATCCTTGGAGTGGGGGAGGCTAAAGATGTTAGGGAAAGTAGGGTTAAAATGCCAATCATCTCACCACAGGCCCAAGGCTGTCCTTCTCTAGAAGGAAACTCCAAAGCCATTTGCCTATTAGAGCAGTGTTCTTGTGAGAAATGCAAATCAAAAGTGGAGGTGTTGCATTGAGGTTGCAGACTCATAAAAAAGCTTGAATACTTCCATGAGATCACTTATCGCAATATCCAAGCATTCCTAATAAAATGCCATTGAGAACCAGTAGGACCAGGTAAAGCTAATTTCTTGTTCTTGATCATCTTTCATTCATGAAGATCCTCGTGATGAGAAAGACAACATAGATACTTGGTAAGAGTAGACATTCAGACATGGATAATTGTTAATCTTAATTACCTGCTTCATAAGTGAAGTGAATGCATCCTTTGGCAGCCCAAACCCAATTGCTGCCATTTCAGCAACAGCCTGAAAAGGAATTTTGAAGTAAATAACAAATTTAAAGTGTATAAGCATAAAGGGAAGGAGAAAAGAAGCAAAAGCACAGTGCTTGACCTCAATTGCAGAAATCATTTTGTAACCCCAAGAATCCATAGTATCTTTCCATTCAGGAAAACCTTCAGGTATAACAGGTTCAGAATTAAGTTCCTACACATTAGGATGCCAAGTCAAAATATATAGTTATTAGGGTGTATTGGTAAATATGACAAAAAAAAACACCAAAACAAAATGGGAGAAAAAGTTATGATACCTGAAACCGGGTGTTAGATGGCCGTGGACCAACTCTCCACATGTATCGCCATTTGGGGTCTGGTCCTACAGGAGTGGATGGTTGATGCTCCTTTGGCATTGCTTTTATTTTTTGTTGCATTTCCACATCTACCAGACTCCGTGGAATCTCTACCCTTTCAGGAGTTACACCAACCTGTTATTCCAGATCAAACAAAACTTCTTCAAATAACCCAGAGATGCAGTTAGTAATGAAGCTGTTAAGATTCTTAATTCTGCTTAGTACTTGAGGAAGTTCATATCTTCCATTGCTCATTCCATAACAATGTTGAAAGCTAACATGGGAAAGAATAAGGAGGAAAAAAGATGATGCAATTAAAGATAAGTACCCTGATTCATTTATTCATTTAATGGGAGAAATTTGTGTATTATCAGAAGTAAAATAATTATGTGGGAAGACATAGCAATAAACAAACAAAAAAAAAAAAAACTGCCTTTTGGAATGACTAATAGCATTCCTTATTTGAGGTGGTAAAATAACATCGTTTTAGAGATTATTAGATGTAGTTGGATTTGTTTCTGTCTTTTTTTCTTTTGGCTTCATGGGGCTACACAACGGGGTAGCCTGTCCCCCATACCCATAACCCCAAACACTGGTGGCAACAGGATTTGTTTCTGTCATTTTAACTTTGAAATTTGTTTATGGTCAGCACCAGACACAATGTTATTGATTAATAAAAGAATTTTATACAAAAATGACTGTGTGCTAAGCACTCATTTTAATAGGCTAGCATCCGCTACTCATCCCACTTGTATCATTTATATATTATGCATATTACAATCCAACCCTCGGGGGAACAAACCCCCCCAATACAGCTTATTCCTATTTATCCCTTGCCTTACTAAGGCAACATCCATACAATTAGCTAATCTGAACCTAACTATATGTTCTTCTAACCCCCTTAACAATAGATTTTTCTTCCCTCATAAAATGCCTATGTTTCCAGGAAAATGTAGTTATTTTTGAGCCAACTTACTACCACCTTCAAACCCCCTTCCACCACTACCTTTCTGAAATTAGGGATTTAAGCATTTAGCCAATCCCAATGACTGTAGCCGTTAATAATTCAGCCCTTGTACAGTCCCCATACCCTATGGACTTAGAATAGCATTTTATCTTTGAAATTATCTATTCATCAATAGTCTAACAAAAAAGAAATAGATAGTTAAGGAGCTTTATCAACTTAAATTGATGCACTGAGTGGTTAGAATGCATAAATGGGAGAAGGAAGGTTGATCTGCAATGGCTAGAAGACAGTACAATTAAGCTACAGCTAAGTACGGCAGTTTGTAATCATCTAGTTTATTTCAGGCGTCCTACTGACCAGGAAATAGGAGAAGGAACTGATAGAGCTGAAGCTTAATTGCATGATATGAAATATTCAGAGCCAGAAAACCAATTTGGTTATTGTTATATGGCTTGCACGGTTCTGAGAGCAGGCAAGCAACAATAAAAGCCTACATTACTAAGTTGACCCCTGATGTCTAAAAGAGAAAGCCCTTCAAGTCCACCCAAAGGTGTGATGACATTGATGATGAAATTAACACCAAATTACAGGGTAGTTAGTCGAAGCCACGGTTCTGGATGAAAACATATACATTTTCAATTGGTGCCAAGGTGGTGCTCTGGCGATGCCGTGATGGTAAAAGTGAATTATAAGAAACTGAGAAGAAAAGCTCAAAGGAAGATTCCAGTGACAGACTGTTCATTTTGGTTGATGTACTGAAAATTGCAGTCTCACTCAATAAGATCTACTTAATTAAGTATAGTAAACTTACTTCTCCAATTTAGTTGTTTATCTAATTGAATCCTTGTCATTTGCCTATAAATAAAGTTCCATGAAGTTCAGGGCCAAATCGATCATTACAAACAGAATTGAGAAGCGTAAATCGCTATAATTTCAACAGCTTAACAAATATCAGTGCTAAGGCATACAATAAACAGCGGAGCGAGAAAACTTCCAATAAGAAATTAAATAGAAAGTATAACAATCAACGGATATAGCAAAAGGAAAACTATAGAATAAGAACAAGAAAAGATTTTTTTTATAGAGACCTGATAATGCAGACGAGGACGTCCCTGAAGACGCTTGAATTCGTCGGGTTTCTCGAAGTAAGTCTCCATCATGTCGATGAAGCGATCGTTGTCTTCCGAAGAGCATCTGGGATCGTTCACCAACAAAGCCCCTGTTTCGCTTAGGATCCGACTGACCTCCAAGCAGAGGCTCTTCAGTTGTGGGTCGAGCTCACTCTCTAGACATGGCGGGTGATCGCCGGTAAATTTAGCGGAAATTTCCAAGTATGGGGAAAGATCTATGACGGGGAGCTCCATCGCTTGCACAGTATCAGAATTCAAAACCTTCCACTTTGATTCACACGGAAGCGATCTCAACTGCAATGGAGGGATAGTTTTTAGATACAAAGATGGATAGTGGCGTAAAGCAAAAAAACATGTATATAGAAAAGAAATTCGTCGAACTATGTGCTCTTTATTCCGTTACGTCTCCTCTCTTTTATACTAAAACCATTTGGATTCTTTGATTCGAACTCCAATCTGCTGTATCCATGATCCTACGTGTAGAATCCAATCAATCCCCAGCTAAAAGATTCCAATCCAACGGCCTAATCCTTGAAAGAACCAATTAAGCTGTCCTGAGAGACAACTAAAATGATTAAGTGTTAATTAAGGAGATAATCACAACGCTTAATTGATTATTCCCGTTTTAAGACCGGTGGGAAGTGGGAACTCTTCAGCCTGTGGGTACGCATTAAGCCCTTTTATTTATTTAAAGTGCAAACGGACAACCAATAGCCGGTATCATCCAATAAAGTGAGTGGAGGAAGATAATTTCACTTGCCAATTTCTCGTATGCGGATCTCCTACCAACTAAAGAAAACGTTCCGGCCTCACGCGCGATCCCGTGTCTCAGTGTCGCATCTAATACATGGAGGGTTCCCATACATAAAATGGTTAAATTTTTTAAATAACCCTTATATTTTAGTTAATTGACTATCTTTATTCTTATTTTTTGAAAATTGATTAAGTATATTCTTACTGTTTTTGATAATTGATTATAATTTTCCCTTTAAATTATATATATTTTTTACTTATCACAGTTAATTTTTGTCTGTCTATGATATCATTTGACTCAAACTACTAACCCACAATCTAGAAAGAAAAATAGTTTGATTTCTAGCATTTCCATCATTGATATTAGAGATGTACCCAATATAATGAATGCATAATATTAGAGATGTACCCAACATTTTATTTTATTTATAAATATACATTAGATATGTGCCCAAAATTTTTTCTATCTTTTTTTTTTGTGATTCTTTGTATTTTCTATTATTAAAAATTTTATTATTTGATTATGACATCATTTCATTTCTAGAAATATTTTGAATTTGTCATTTAATTTTCAACATTAATAAAAATACATCTTACATTTCATAGTTATTTAATTTAATTTTTTATTATTTACTTATGATATTATTTATTAATCCATTTGACCCCAAATGGTCGAATTGCTTGTCTGCCATCAAGAGGGAAAAAAATGGTTTTGTTTTCAAATTACTTTTCAAAATATTTATTTTTATACTATTAAAATTAATATTATGGATTTAATTACAAGAATTTAATGATGGAAAAAATATATCTTAAATATAGGATTTAATGAGAGAGAATAGGAAAATATTTTTATTTCCAATTGGTTTTAAATTTTACATTCCATTTCCATCATTAATAAACACATTTTTTATTTATCATACTTATTATTGTTTAATATGTATGTTAAAAACGTTCTCAATTTTTTTAATTTATTCATTTTTTTAATTTTATTATTTAACCATGGCAACATGAATTAACCCATTTGACCCTAAATGATTTAATTTTTTACCACCACCTAGATGAAAACATTGTTTTTACTAGGTAGATTTTAAATGTATAAGCTTTTGTGTTATTGGAATTATTATTTTATTAAGTATGGATTTAATTAATAGAACTTAATGATGAGAAAAAAATGACTTAAATATATGATTCAATGAACATGAATGCAACTTAATAACTTAAGTGTTGGATTTGATGAGAGAGAATTGAATGCATTGAATATCTTAAAATTACCTATTTTCAAATCATTTAATATCAAGAACCGATTACCATATTTGCCCTCATTTTTTATCAATAAATTTAAATATAGAGGATAAATATTGTCCTTAAAAAATTTCAGAAATATTCTCGAGGCCATTCTTACTCTTTAAAGTAGTATAGACAAATCTTCCATATCCATCCAATATATGGCCCTATTTTTAGCCATAAGTTTTTGGGACATGGTTTTCAAAACAGGACCAGAAAAAACTGGTAATCGGTTAGGCCCCCGGGTCTGGCTATATTAAAAATAGGAAATCTCTAAAAAATGTTGAAAAAGTAAAAAAAAACGCTGACCTAGGTGATTGGACTGCTAAATCGTTCAACTCGAACAGTGGTTCGTAGGTTCTCTTTTTTATTTTTACTGTTGTAAATAAAATAAAATAAAAACAAAAAATAAAATTACTTTAATATCTCCATCCCAAATCAATTAATTGAATGTAGGGTTAGAACCCCATTTTCGTTTTAACCCTTCGTTCTTCCCTCCTCTCAGCCCTTACACCCAACCAACCACCTGTGGCGGCCAGCACCTTCGACGTTCGACGGCATCATACATCGGCCAACGACGATTAACGGCGACCGGTGATGGTCAGTTTGCAGCAGTGGCCATTCCTCACACCCAACCGACCACCTGCGGCAGCCAACACCTCCGGCGTTCGATGGCGACACACATTGAACGACCGCGATTAACGGCGACCGGTGACGGCGAGTTTGCAGCGGTAGCCAACGTTTTTTGCAATTTGCAGCACTTCCAGGCTTTATGGCAGGCGAGTTTGTAGCAGCGGATGACTTGCAACGACGAGCAGTTCTAAAGATTTGGAGATTGATTGCGAGTGTTTTTTACACCTAGGAGCAATTTTAAAGAAATTGAAGAAATTGAAGAAAAAATAGGGTTTTGAAGTTTTTGCTTGGTTGAAGCTTAGGGAGCAGCATTTGGCATGGTGATTAGGTACAAATTAATATAATTTTTTTTATCAATTAGGTAAAGTTAATGTATATTGAAGCTTTTTAGAGATCAATCTTGAAATAGAAAAGCAATCGTGAATGCTAATCGCCGTGTGAGCTGCTAAAGGTTTTTTGATCTCTTGAAAATATTAAAGCAAAAATAACATTAGGTTTGGAAGAAGAAGAAGATGACGAGCAAAAATAACATTAGGTTTGGAAGAAGAAGAAGAAGAAGATGATGATGAAAAGAAGAGTGTGAATAATGGAATCATTGGAGAGACTAGAGATTGTTTGCCGAAATACTTGCCACCGTTCCACTGTTATAAGACACCAGTGTGTGGTAAGTGGCCAATGGGATGCTTGGGTTAGGGCAAAGGAGAGACTTGAAATGGGGAAGGAGTTCGAATTCAAATGACCTTGAAAGAAACTTCATTTTGGGTTTTTTGTCTTTTTGTGAGTGGTTCAACGGGTTTGTTCAACTAACGGCTGAACAACTATTAACATTGTAGGTGTTTGGCATCGGTGCTGGAACACAAAATAGTGTTGTGCATGCCTAAATTGTAAGCACCGTTTCCTGATATTTTTGTTTGGAAATGGCACATAGGTTGTTTTATGGAAAAAAATCACCGATTTTGTTTGGTATTAGTGTTGTAGAACTGTTTTCAGCATTGGTCTATATTATTTGACATCCAAGATGTTGTCACTTCATTGCACCGCTGGCAGCAACGGGTTGTTTTCTAAGAAAACATTAAGGTGATGTTTGGCATCGATGTTGCTTTTTGAGAAAATGGTGGCACGTAGGCACCACATTAGAGAAAGCAATGCTTCAGAAAACACCCTATTCTTTGGTACCATTTTTCTAGAAAAAAAAGCGTTGCTCCAAGCCACGCCTTGGGAAGGAAAGTGTGGTCTTGATAAATGACAAACTCAATGTTTTCTGAGAAAACGGTGCATTGATGCCAGCAGTGCAATGGTTTGTCATCAATGTGGCATCATTTTGGACGTTGGATAATATAGACCAATGCTAGAAATGGTTCTACAACACTAGAACCAAACGAAACCATTGTTGTTTTCTCAGAAAACAACCTATGTGGGAGCATTGTTTTATAAGAAAACGGTGCAGTTTTCTCAGCATCGATGCCAAACACCTACTAAATTTGGTGTTTCTTCAAGCCACACTTTCCTGATTTCCAAAGCATGGTCTGGAGCAATGTTTTTTTATAGAAAATGGTATCAAACAAGAAATCATTTTCTAAAGCACCGCTTTTTATGATGTGGCACCTACGAGGTGTCATTTTCTCAAAAAACAACATCAATGCCAAACACCTTCATCACCAACTATTGTCTTTTGAGACATGCAAGGGCAGGTGCTAGCAAGTCGGGTAGGTGCTTGCTAGGAATTAATGCCGATACACGGATATTGATATTTAGGTGGAGGTATTTTGTACTCAAAAAGAATCTTGAGAGAATGATTGATTGGTCAATGACAGAATTTTGTGGCCCTATAGTACAAGAAATAAATTCTGACATGCAAAATTCATGGACAAGATGCTATGATTTATAAAAGAGGGGCTACTAATAAGAGACCGGATTTGCTCCTCACACCTGATGCCTATGAGGTGCCTCACACGCACATCCTATCATGCATTGGGAACATCTACCGTACTTATTGGTTATTCTTCACAGGAGATGTTCCCATTACGTGGTGGATGTGCCTGTAAAGTGCCTATTTGTGAGAAACAGATCCCGTCACTACTAATAGAATATGGGGACTGTCATTCAAAGTCCTGCATTGGGTTGCAGAGTACTTTAACCCCAAATCATTTATGTCCTACAGTCAGTCACTTTCAACTACGGATGATAAGACATACAATCATTTGGTCGTAAACCTGTTAACGTTACCGTCTATTGCCATTATCATGATCATGTTTAGGAGAATGATCAATCAGCCCAGATCCTTTAGTACAGTGGGAATGCATCTTAATCGTGATGTCAAATTCACGGACAGAACGTGGTTTATAGGGGGAGAGGGATAGTGCTACGGGGCTGGAATTCAGAATTCTGCATCGCATGTATCCCTACTCTCCGATGATTTATCCTTTATAAAATATTCCACAACGTATCGCTGCCGACAAATTATTTTCTTTTCTGTTCCATTCATCCCTATTCCCTCGCTACTGTGTTCTTGGCGCCATGATAGACCTTCAAGGCTACGGCATACTTTTCCTTGTCTGCCTCTTTTCCATCATCGCAGTTCGAGCCATCATCTCCACGGTGCGAACCCCAAGTCGCCTCCCGCCAAGCCCTATTCCGCTGCCGATCGTCAGACACCTGCATATCCTCCGTCCATTTCCTCACCTAGCTATCTATAAGCTCTCCAACCGC